GATGGATGGATGGATGAATGCAATTCCATACTTGGCCATAAACTTAGTAGCTTGGTCAGAAGTATCCAGCATCTCTGTTGTGCCCTTGTCACTCCGTACCAAGTGTACTAAGATAGGTGTTAGCTCCCCTTCAAGTGCAAGGAATCCCTGCAAACAATAAAGGTACACATCAAAGATGTGAGGAGAAAGAAAAGTAAAAAGACGTGAATTATTCAAGGAGTTTTCAAGGAGTATAAGGAGTAGAATGAACTCTGATAACAGTTCATTCTAGAAGGAGAAAGAGTTGACATAATCCATACCTTAGCAAAGGCAGCTGCCGTCATTTGGACTCGCCCTTCATCTGATGCATATATCTTAAGGTCATGTCGATAGGTGCTGTGTAACCTTAACAGGCCACACCCTGGTAGACTGGAGTAATCACCATCACCTCCAGGATAAATACACCTAGAAATAATGGATTGATGAAGGGAAGAACCTTAGATTCCTAACTGCTACTGACTGACTGAGCATTCATTATTATTTTTCATTATTAATTTACAAGGAAACCATATTGCCAATCATGGATCATGGGTACATAGTACTTGGTTAGACTGTTCTAAGACTGAAGGTTTACAAAATCAGGCTATGCGTTCAATATCTAATGTTGTTAATAGGAAAACTTGTTCACAGTTTCCTAAGCCACCTTGAAAGGTAGCTGTGCCTCGGCATCGAAAAGAGATGAAGGGTGAGCTTGCAGTGACCTTTTTTTAACACCTTGGACAATTTTTCATAAGTGCACCGTTCGTCACCATTTGATGTAAAGGCATGGCTACATTTCAAGATGGAGCAGGGAACTGTAAAGGGGACTATTAGGACTGTTAGGTTTTGCAGAAAGAGGCCTAACAAACTCTGGTCACATGTGATGCATAGTATAGGAATTGAGTACAAGAACTCAGAGGTGAGATGCAATCAAGGCCAATAAAGCTGTTAAAAAATGGTTATGGAATCTTTATTTAAAAAGGATGGCCCATTCAGATATAAGCTGGTATCTGTATTACATAAATCTATACAAATAATAATAAAATATATACTATATACATATAAAGAGATATAAGAAAACTATTTAAAAAAGTGCACTACCGTTGTACACACCATCATTGAGGGTGTCTTAGGGTACAATTCCAGGTACTATGCATCACTCATGATTCCATGTCCAGGAATTGAGACTATACTGACCCAGAAACTGACCTGAAAGCCTTCCCAAGTTCTTCAGCCTGTACCCTTCCTGCCTGCGTCAGCTCCCCACCCCACTTCATGATCAACAGCAATGCTTCTTCTTTGCTATCTCTTTCCTTCACCTTGAGACTTTTCTCTGATTCACTGTCTGTTGACTGTTTTGATTGCTTCTCTTCTCCTCCACTGTTCTCTGAACTATCTTTTACTTTACCCAGATATTTTAACTGGATTTTACGGTTGATACCAGAGAAATGTCCATACCTTCAAACACAAATAATGCATCAGTGTTGACCTCCTTTCATACCCAAAGCATACCCTGAACATTTAATACATGTACTTACATCTCCAGGACATTCTTGAGCTGACGTAGTTTATTTGGTTTCTCAAACATACTGGTCTCAGGGTTGGCTTCTATCTCTTCCAGCATGTATCGTGCAATATCTAACACTTCCTGCAGCTGTTTGGGCTGCTTTAGTTTGAGCTTCTTGTCTGTTGACTTGTTGTACTTCTTGAACAATTCTAAGAACCTAAAAATAAAGACATGAATGAAACAGCCATCTAAAGATGGTATATAACAATGATGATGATATTGAAGTAAATGAAAGAATTGATCAAAAGTGAAAAAGCAATTATTATGATGATGGTGATGATGATGATGGTGGTGATGATGATGATGATGATGGTGATGATGGTGGTGATGATGATGAAGAAGGTGATGATGATGATGATGATGGTGATGATGGTGGTGATGATGATGATGATGATGGTGATGATGATGATGATGATGTTGATGATGGTGGTGATGATGATGATGGTGATGATGATGATGGTGGTGATGATGATGAAGAAGGTGATAATGGTGGTGATGATGGTGGTGATGATGGTAATGATGGTGATGATGATAATGATGGTGATGGTGAAGGTGATGATGGTGGTGGGGATGATGATGATGTTAATGGTGATGAGCTAGGAAAGCACTATATCAGCCATGCTTGCTATCTACTGTACATACCTAAAATGTCTGACTTCCATCTTCAGCTTCTGTTTGGGTGTCCTGTCTCCATGCCGTATGATACCTACCACACACCTCAGCTCCAGCATGGTACCATCTAGTGTCTCTGGCATAGTGCCGTGGTCTTCTGTATCTAACTCAATATTGTATGGCTTGTATAACCGGGGTGCAAGCTGCTGGAGACAGCAGTTAACTAACACCTGCAACGTACAAGACGTATTGGTTAATTGCGTTGTACAGGGGGGGGGGGGGAGTACTTTGATCAGCTAAAAAGCTGTTTCAGGCTATCCATAAGATTTGAAGGTTAAAGTTTGTAAGTTTTTTCCCAATCAGAAAACTATTTTTTATGGTGTTTTTTGAATAATACTAGTATTTTATTCCATCGTCATCATACCTGAGCACAATCATCGTAGTATTTCTTGGAGGTTTTGACAAAGCTGAACCCATTGACATCACAGACGTAAGACTTGCCATGGGTGCGAAGAAGATCAAAACCACAGACTGTTTGCTGTATGTGGATTAACAATATTGAAATCCTTAGTCTTTATCATCATTAACCGTGTAACCAATTCTACAGAATCTCAATTGTATAAATACCTTCACAGGCAATAAACTTGACGTACCTTGAAAAGTTTACAAACTTTGTGAGCAATTTCTTTTTCATATGGGTTCAATATGACAGGGTAGCGTATTTCTTTGCCTTGACTATCACGCTCCACTTTACCATCCAATGAAGGGGACTTCCTGGCCTCTGCATGGGCATACTCTGGACCTACTGTATATATCTAGCAGAGACGACAAAAATACACAATGCATAATAGTTCGTTATTAGACATTATTATTTAGGTTTCGTTATTCTCATAATTATAACCACCACTGACCATCATCATCATCGCCATCATCATCACTAACCATCATTATCACTAGCCATCATCACCATTATCTTCATCACCATCACCTCCATCACCATCATCATCACATCACCATCATCACCATCCTTATCAACATCAACACCATCTTCATCACATCAACATTATCACCATCATAACCACCATCATTTTCATCACCATCATCGTCATCACCATCATCGACACCATCTTCATCACCATCATAACTACCAACATCGTGATCACCATCGTCAACACCATCATCATCATCACCATCATCATTGACACCGTCATAACTACCATCATCATCATCATCATCATCACCATTATACATACCTTAACATCAGTACCATCATCATCATCACCATCATAACTACCATCATCATCATCATCATGCATCACCATCATAACTACCATCATCATCATCATCATCATAACTACCATCATCATCATCACCATCATAACTACCATCATCATCATCATCATCACCATCATTGACACCATCATAATCATCATCACCATCATCATCATCATCGACACCATCATCATCACCATCATCATCACCATTATACATACCTTAACATCAGTACCATCAGTATGAACAAAGTCTTCATAGATATAAGAACCAAATTTCCTCACACTGCTCTCTGCAGAGTACACACTGCTACGACTCCCAACTTTCCTGAACAAACGCTGACTTCCTCCACCAGCCGACGATGGAAAATAAATGAATACATTATGGTCCTCAGCATTCACGGGCTTCTCTACGAACGGTTTTTGAAAAACTACATTTCCAATTTGGATTGAGTCTTCTAATTCTACAAAGTCAGTGTCCACAGGATTTCCATCTTTGTCCCTCAGGAGTGTTGCATAGCGCGGCATCTCAATGTTGGCCGACTCTAACAAACTGTACACAGCACATCTGGACCAAAAAGAAATCAAAGTTGGTTGAGCATTCTCTAGAATGTTATGTAGGAGGTTGACCAGTGATTTTAATCTCTGGCCAAACCAACTTCAGAACTGTGGAGAAATTGCTGATTTTGTACAGCTACAGGTGACTTTCAAGTTGGTAGGACAGGGACAGATTTAGGGGAGTGGTACAGGGGGAGATATCTACTGCATTATTGGTGTTTGAATTTGTAAGCGAAGGTGCACCCCCTCCTAAAACGAAAATCCTGGATGGTGCCCCCCCTGGACCTGCCCATGTGGGATGACCACTATAGATAGCAGTCCTGTCTCTCCACACTTTATCATCATACCCAATATATATATAATATCATTATACAAAATAAAAAAAACACTGAGGAATAATTGTAAAGAAACCCTGGCAATGACCACCCATAGAGGCTACAGATTTTAACCAAGTAGCATGCAAATTGTAATATATATACCGATATACACACACAGCTGAAACAATCCTGTGAGACTGATGACACTGTTTTCTGTGCAGACACACTAAAACTGACCAATCAGAAAGAAATAAACTTGACAGAGATTGAACTGATAATAGCATTGGCCAATCAAATTATCACGTCCTCACACTTTTATTATATTGATGTTTTATCTAATTGGCTGGTTAAATATATTGAACTAAATGTCACAATATGATTGGTTAAAGATAGTAGTTTATCATATTGGTCATGGTTGGAGTATACGCACAGTAAACCAGGTGTATGATAATCAATGTACAATTAACTATTAATAATTATTAGGGCAGTACTGTACCTGTCTAACAAGGTGAACTGCATCTCTAGATCATTGAAAACAAATGGTTTTCTTAACTCGGCATATTTGATGGCTTTATTTAAAGGGAACCCACTAGAGTAAAATGAGATGAGAGCATCGCACAGCGGCCAGTCTTCAATGGGTTTATCAATGATGACATCATCAGGGAACACTATTATCTCTATAAAGTCAAATCTTATCATACGGCTCAGGATCTCCTGCATTGGTTGGGATTTTGTCTAAAAAAATAACATCAATTGTAATATTAGTTGAACATGAATGACTTTCTAACCTCCCCCATGGAGGGGGATTGGATTTCCAAGGGGTGGGGAGGGTTTGATGAAGGTATATTGTGTAGTTCCAGAAAATATCTATACCTCTCCCATGAAATACGAATAGAGTTTCTAAACAATATCACAATAATTTTTACATTTCATACCTTTTTGTTCATGGCACAAATACCAATCTTAATCTTAGGCATTTCTTCTACTATCTCATCATCTAGCTCTTCCATCATCTGCTCCATGCTGATACCCGCATCAGAAGATAATGAACTTATGAAAGGAAGGTTATTCCTATCAAGTGTGTTGGACACGTCTAAATATGTGGCTGACATGATTCCTGCTATCAACACTCTACAATGTGCTCTGAAGACAAGACAACATTGTCAGTATACATTCAAAGTATGTAGGCTTTGCAGCATCATGTGATGGCAGCCATGACAGGAGGCAGGAACATTTGAATCTTGTCTAATCTGATTTACATGAGAAAGACTATTATAGTACCTCTTGTGATGGCTGCCATTAAGAAATGGTGCAAAGCCTCAATTGTTACAAATGAATAAATTAATGGATTGATGAAGGTACTGGACAACGTCATGGGCATGTCAATTAGCAGATGAATTGATGAAATTGATGGATGGAAAATGAAATGATTGAAAGTATAAGTCATCAAATGCTCACTTGTTCCAGTTTAAACACCCCTCTCGCTATGGCCAACACAAAATATAACAAAACAACAAATTCAAATATCACCAAGGCACAGACTCGCGTACTATAGCCACACATTGTTATTTATAATGCTACAAGGGCTCATATGTCATGTGATTTACTTATTTATTTGGTCTTTCTCTGCTCTGCCTTGCAAATATTTCTCGATCTGAATTACAAGAATTAACGTTCCCATCTATTTGAATGTGCTATCGTTATTTATCTCGTAATTTTGGAAGTAATTTCGTAGACAATCTCGAATTAAAGTCGGTTTTACAGTCAAAACCCGCTTTGATATCAGTGTATTTGCTGTTAAGTTGATGTGAAAAAAACCCGGCTTTTTATTGTTATTTTGTCAACTTACCTTTTTTTATGGTGTTTCCATGTTTTATAATCAGGGCAGATAGGTCCAGCCTAGCCCTATCACCACATATTTTTAGAAAAATACTATAAAAACACCGAAATTTTTAGAAATTACTTAATATTTTCTGGCGAAACTCAGGTTAGCCTGAGCCTGCATATCACCGGAAGCTGTGTACAGCGGTACCTACCAGTGACTTATGAAATCTATAGCGCGGGATACCTGTGGTACAGCTTAACTCTTTTCTTTTTGGTAGAATGCGAGCTCTGTTACCTGTTGAACGCGGGGGACGCAAGCTAAAAAGCCGGGGGGCTAAGATGGGAAAATATAAGAGACAAGTAGGGGAAAAGGAAAAATAGGGGGCTACATCCCCCTGCCCCACCCCTTCTGCGGCCCATGCAAAGTGTGTTAAGAAGAGATTATTATAAGCGCATTAGCTCATATATTTTAATGAATTTTTGCACTATATAAGTAATAAAAAAATAATATTAGATCAGTATACATAATTTTATTGAATTTAAGAAATAATCACTTTCTACAGTGGCATTAAAATGTTTTACATTCACACCACACAAGAGTGGACTGGTTTCATCTGAGTATCTTGCACAAGGCAAGCATGCTGTGCAAGGGATCTAAGACCCCTTAATTCACCATACCAGCAGTCTGACAGCCTCTTGTATGAGGCAGGCATGTTTTACAGGGTATCTAAGACCCCCTTCATGCATCATACCAGCATCCTAACAGCCTCTTGTATGAGGCAGGCATGTTGCACAGGGTATCTAAGACCGCCTCCATGCACCATACCAGCATCCTGACAGCCTCTTGTATGAGGCAGGCATGTTTTACAGGGTATCTAAGACCCCCTTCATGCACCATACCAGCATCCTAACAGCCTCTTGTATGAGGCAGGCATGTTGCACAGGGTATCTAAGACCACCTCCATGCACCATATAACCATTTTGATAGCCTCTTGTATGAGGCAGTGGCATGCATAATTCTCACTTCAGAAGATCTCAAGCAATGCAGCAATATATTGAAGCTCAAAAGGAATAAAATTACAAAAGAAAATCTTCAGTACTAAAGATTATTCTGTAAGAAAGATAACATAGATGTTTCGTAGTGTTCTGATGAGACAGTCTGTCGTATTCCATGTCTTTCATTTGGGTAGATCTAAACAGGAAATAAAATAAATGAGCTTACAACAGTAGAAAAAGAGCTTAAAACGCACCGAATAAGTAGTAATTAAGTTTCAAATGATATTTTAAAGAATTGTATTTAATGGGGATGGATGACAGTCACGATTTAGTATTGATAAACTTGTTGCCCTCTATGTTTTTGAGGACCACTAGTTAAGCAGTGCAAACTGTAATGTGCTACTCTTGTAAAATAAACTTGATAATCAAATCAAATAAATAAAACATCAATTGAACGTAAAAATGTGGACAGGATTGCTGTCTTACATGGTCATCCAAGCCACTGCAAACATTTGCAGATATTTTTAGAGCAAAGAAAGCAACTTCTTCTGAGATATTTTGAGAGAAAGTTTTGGTTTGCCCACAACATCCTGCACAACAGGCTGGTGCCAAACCAAATGAGCCAACGGGGAATTTGTCAAAAATCAGTGAAATTAATTCATGGCTTACTATGAGTCGATATGGCTTGCAGGCCTTGACTAGCTCATTGATCAGCAAACTGGTGTGGGTGAAGTGGACGTTCTCGTCAATCAGACCATGAACTAGAAGTAGTCTATTCTCCCTGCAGTAATAAGCAAGATAAATAATAATAATAAACTGTTATTAGCATCACTTAATGAGATTTAGGAAAGCTTTACAAAGAAAACTAAAGATTAATAATTAGAGATTGATACAGTGGCAACTCAGTACAGTCAACTCTCGTTACAGCGGACACCCTCGGGACCGTCAATTCATGCCCGTAATAGCTAGCGCCTGCAATAGTGAAAATTTTTTACGGTCATTTCTTTGTCAGCATTTTTGTCGGGGATTTTTTTCCTGTCCGTAATAGCAAGGTGTCCGTAATATTGGGGTGTCCGCAAGACAAGAGTTCACTGTAGAAGTGAAGAGATTATTGTACTTACTCATCAGGAAAACTATTTACATAAGACAGAACTGAGCTCATCATGTACGCTCTGCTGTTCTCTTGTGGTATCCACATGTAACGCTCTGTATATCCTGTGTCGTATGCTTCCCATGTCGTCACAGGAGCACCCGCAATAGCAACCTGAAATACATCAATATGGTGAGCCTTGGTTGATAATTACTATAGACATTATGTGTAATCATCATCACCATGATATCCACCACTACCATCATCTTGCAACATCGTCATCATCTTGTATCATCATCATAATTACTGAATAATAATGATAATAATCACCATCATCATATGATGTATCATCACAACTACCATCATCATCATCACAACTACCATCATCATCATCACAACTACCATCATCATCATCACAACTACCATCATCATCATCACA